AGTGGATTGCAGACATAGGGAACCATAGCAGTGCATTTGCAGACATAGGGAACTATAACAGTGCAGACGTGGATAACTATAGCAGTGCATTTGCAGACATAGGGAACCATAGCAGTGCATTTGCAGACATAGGGAACTACAAATGTGCAGACATAGATAACTATAGCAGTGGACTGCAGACATAGGGAACCATAGCAGTGCATTTGCAGACATAGGGAACTACAACAGTGCAGCTATAGATAACTATAGCAGTGGGTTGAAAACATAAGGAACCGTAGCAGTGTATTGCAGACTTGCAGACATAGGAAACTATAAAAGTGCAGGCATAGAGAGTTATAGCTGTGGGTTGAAGTCATAGGGAACCACAGCAGTGCCTTGCAGACATTCGGGAACCATAGCAGTGCATTGCATGCATAGGAAACTATAACAGTGCAGGCATAGGGAACTATAACAGTGCAGGCATAGGGAACTATAACAGTGCAGGCATAGGGAACTATAACAGTAGATTGAAGACCTAGGAAACTATAGCAGTGCATTTCAGGCATAGGGAACTATAGCAGTGGATTGTAGACACAAGAATGCATCACACGTTGCCACCCTGTGGTGAATTTTAAACATATTTTTTTTTTGTTAGAGGTGTACAGTGTACAGGACTGACATCTGCCGAGATTCACGTATAATGCTGTTCCCAAAAAGTGTGTGTGTGTGTGGGCGGGGGGGAGGGTGATAGTAGGCCAGTAGGGTAAGATGCTGTCGTGATGGGTTCCCCTGCTTAAAGCGTTAGGATAGGGTGTAACATTGGGGGAGATGGTTTGATGGCTGATAGTTTGATGACTGATAGTGTGGCGGCTGATAGTTTGATGGCTGATAGTTTGATGACTAATAGTTTGATGACTGATAGTTTGATGGCTGATAGTTTGATAACTGACAGTTAAAGTCTGACTGTGAGCGTAATCGAATCAAGCCGACCGAGAAATGTAATCGGGCTGCAAACGGGAAAAGAAGGCGGGAAAGGTTCGGTTCGGTTTTAGCGCTTGTGATTTTGAGGGGGGGGGGGCACACACATTCTTGTTCATACGTGACATCGTATCTTGCTACAGCAACACCACCACCCCACAATTGGCCATATATCATGGTATCAACCACATTGGCCATAAATCAGTCAAACTACTATCATGATATCCATCAATGACGGTCATAGACATCATGTAATCAATCACCTTGGTCTTATATCATGACATTGATCACCTCGGCAATGTATCGTGATATCAAAGTACGGCTTTGGAATGACAACGTTGGTTGCTTTAAGTTGTGTAAAAGTATAGATGGTAGACGGTTTGAAACGACACCGTGGACCACGGTTCGGGCCGTTTTGTACAAAGTGTTCGAGCCTGGCTCACCCCGTAGTGTCTCTCATACTGGCGGTCACAAAGTAGGCTTGTGGGCAGTGTAGTCTTGTCTCTCAGACTTACGGTCACAAAGTAGGCTTGTGGGCATGGTCGTATTGTCTCTAATACTGACAGTCACAAAGTAGGCTTGTGGGCATGGTCGTATTGTCTCTAATACTGACAGTCACAAAGTAGGCTTGTGGGCATGGTCGTATTGTCTATATAATACTGACAGTCACAAAGTAGGCTTGTGGGCATGGTCGTATTGTCTCTAATACTGACAGTCACAAAGTAGGCTTGTGGGCATGGTTGTATTGTCTATATAATACTGACAGTCACAAAGTAGAAAGCCATGGACGGTGCCCTTCGTGAGCGCCTGGGAAAAAAAAATAAAAAGTTTCAATTCAACCCGTTCCCAGGGCGCCATCTTAACAACGGCGTGGGCCCTTGGAAAAACTAAATGCGCTGGGGCTCCCTTCTTGTCTCTAACCTAATCGGGGAATGCTAGGAATAGCATTTTTATTTATTTATTTTTATTTTTTTTTTGGGGGGGGGGGCAGTTTGATCCACACGAAGCAGCTATGTTTCTTTAGGTCATTGCAACGGAGGCGTGGGGGCTATTTCTGGCTTTATTTGTTGGGGAGCGGGGCGTTTTTCAGGGCACAGGTTTGGGCATCATGACGCCCCGAATCAGGTCAAATGCCATCGCAGTTGCTACATACATAAACATTCATTCCAGATCTGGCGTCCTAGAGGGTATGCTTTTGGCTCCGGTTTAGTTTCGCCGGGGAGCCTATGTATTAAAAAACACCACAAAAGAACAACAACAAAAATTTTTTTTGTCCCTTTACAAGGAAATAATATTAATACTAGTATCCAGTGCTTAATTATAGATCTCTTAAAGTCTCTTTGATCGGGGAGACATCAGAAACCGAAGGCCCGTTGAGCACCGTCACCATTACCAGTCAAAATTGGGATAACTTTGAAATGCAACGATGCATTTTGGCACACACCTACACTCAATCTGAGACCGAAAAAAAAAAAGACGTCACTGTGGGCCTTTAGGTTTTACTCAATTTTGTTGTGTTTTTTTTAAATTAAATTTCTTTATTTTAATGCTAGATACTTATTTGTGTTTTTTTTTAAAAAAAATTTTTTTTTTTTTTTTTTAATATATTTTAAAAAGCGCTAATAAAAATAATTATTTTTTTTTAAAAAAAATAAAAAAAAA